ACAACGACAACAACAACAACTACTACTACTACTACTACTACTACTACAACTACAACTACAACAACTAATGATGTTGACTAGGGCGGAACTACAACTCTGCTGCTTATCCTTCTTGCTTTTTGATTGAAGTTGAAGTTGTTGCAATTCTTGTTGCCGCTGTTACTTTGTTGCGATTGTTGTGAGCGTAGTTGTAGTATACGTATATGTTGTGATCCTCTTTCCTCCCCTGCAGGATAGAGAAATGGACATGAAAATCGATGGTGTCACTGACTGCTTTTGTTTATTTCTAGCTGTTGTAATTGTAGCTGTAAGTGTCGTCGTAATGCTCACACTTTTCATCATCATTGACGTCAAGGTAGGAGTAGAAGTAGGAATAGAGGTGGGAGTAGGAGGTGCGGGTGGTGGGAACAGCGCGGACAACAGCTAGAATTCTATGTCCGGTGAAGACTTACAGCAACGCCGCCCATCTTATACTATAGCCGCGCAACCGTCATCGCTTGTCCTGATACTAAACGCATCCCTCCCGTCGCGCTGCCTAGTCATGAATCATCACTGGCCCAAAAAAACACGAATAAAAAGGGGATTGGTTGAATGACGTAGATATGGTAGCCTCTTGTCTTTGACAGCAATCACTTTCTCACGAAGAAACCTCGGATCCCCAATTCCACTTGGGATCTCTGGATGTATGGATGCCTGCTAAATTCTCATCAGGCACACAAGGAGACCCCAAATTCTATCACTTGTGATTAACAACGATAATAGAGAAAGTCGGAGATTCAGGAAGCCTAGGTAGAAGGTGGATAGGAGGGGGAGGAGGAGTAATGCTAAAATAGGATGACAGTAAGGCAAGACTACAAGGGCGGGATTGAAGTAAATAGGGTTACAGCACACATCCAGCAGGATTTCATTAATTTCGCCAGGGCGTTGGTTTTTTGGGGGTCTCGGGTGGCAGGAGCTTGAATACACCGGTCTTGAAAAGAGTTCAAGAGGGCTTCGACTAAATTGGGGCTGGGGGAGGAGTCCAGGAGCGAGATTTGATGAAATTGGGCAGGGGTTGGGGCAAGTTCCGCAGTCGGATCTGATGACTACAGGAGCGAGGCTTTTATTAAGCTGCGGCTAGAATGAGCTCTACAGGGATTTGAATAATTTTGCCAGGGCTTTGGAGGAGCGGGTTTGGTTTGCTTGAAGGCCACAACTTGATCAACTTAGGGCCATGGGAGAAGTCCAGGAGTGGGATGTGACTAACCTGGGCAGGGTTGGAAGACTAGAGCGGGATTGGATCACATTGTGGCTACCCACAAGGGATTTGATCAAATCGGGCACTGCTTGGAAGACTAGCGGGATAAAGTGGGATTAGAGGAAGCGTCTAGATGAACACAAGAGCGGGATCTAATCAAATCAGGGCCAGTGGAGGAGTCCAGCTTTGATAAGATTGGACAGTGTTTGGAAGACTATTAGGCCGGATCTCTTAGATTTTGTTGTGACTAGAAGGTACTGATAAGTAAAGGGAGTTACTTCAAGTGGGCACGGAGTGGAAGACTGCGCAATCGGGATTGCTAATTATAGGGACAGAGTCCAAAGACCACAATTGCGGGATTGGATTCAATTAGGTAACGCTTGAAAGATCGCAAGACCCAGATTTGATCGGGGTTACGGCGGGCTTTCAGGTCTTCGCCGACTATGTCGCTGTCAGATGCTGTCAGGTCATATAAGTAGGTGGGAGGGTTTGCCTGACATATCAAGCATTTCAGGTGGGGCGGGGAGGGAGAGGGCCGCCCACTAAATCTCCGAAATATGAGACCACGCAGGTGGTCCCAAAAGTTGTCCATGGCCCAGGAAGATATAACCTGGTAAACAAGAACTTTTGCAAGCTCCCAGGAGCTAGCTTTCGTGACAGAATGGTGTAGGAGTCGCAGCACAGCAGAGCAGCTTCCAAACGATGCCGACATGCTATTCGCTCCCCACAGTGCCTTTTCAAAAGTGGAAGGGCTGAGTTTAGGACTCCAGGACTCAAGGCGGGACGCGCGCAAGAGCTTGCAATAGCTGGCAAGTGGTGTGAAACGCTGGGTGTCCCTTAACTGCTCCGTCCCCTTCAGAGACGACTGTCGGCACAGAATTGAAAGACTCGGCGCAACATCCTTCCGATGGGTTTCACATATTCCCACTACATAATCATCCCTATTGCACATTCATGCCCATTCTCTAATTCACTACTACTGCCTATTCGGAAGCAAATGATCTCCTCCGAAAGTCGATCTTCGCTAGACGCTAGACTCTTCCTCCGGACAGGGCACCGAAAATCCCTCCCGAAATGCAACAACTCAACTGACAAGACCCTCGCTGTGGAAGCTCCCTACAACCATGTTGTGCCGCAATGCTGCTATGAATTGCCAAGTTTTCCCAATTTTGGCTCCCATCCGATCCTCAACAGGCAAATTCGGAAAAAATGTGCTTCCCTTCACAGGGACTTGAGAAGTTCGGACCAGGAAATATACGGACCCGAGTTTGAAAGTCCCTAGACCTCTTTCTCCTTCATCACTTAGCAAGCCTCCTATCGTCGTGTCTGTACCATCCCAGCGTGGCGCTTTTCGCCCAACTCTCTCAGATTCCCGTACATTCGGGCTACACAGCCAGGCCTTTCCTCTCAGCCGCTCGGCACGGCCACCGAAGTTACGGCTCCTGCGAGTATGTGCTCCCAAAAGGTCACGATGCGTCGCGATGAGAACTCTGAAAGCTTATACTGAAAGCTTCAGAATCAAGATAGCATGGACACAAGTAAAGAATTCAATTCGATGATGTGACTGACACTAAACTGGGTTTCAAAAGTGGTTTCTCCGCCTTCATTTCTTGTGAACCTGTAAAGCATGCAGTAGAGCAGCTGCATTGGCGTCAGATCGTCGCCTGAACAGCTTGCCCGTTGCCTCGTCTGAGGCTACCTAATAAGGCCTGTATCTATACAACCAGAAGTCCGACAGGATGAGGGTCTCCTGGTAACTACGAGTGCTATTCACCGCGCATTCAAACATGCGAATTGGAATCGCAAAATCTCCGCAGCATTGCTGGACCAAAACGCTGCAAAAGGGTGGATCTCCGAATTGTATACAAGGGAGTGCCACAGCTAAGAGCTACAATTCAAGAGACTCAAGCCGCAGATCCACCCGGCATGGCTCTTGAAAACATCTGAGAAAGTCTTAAAACATGTCTGCAGTTTGACTGGACCAGCTGCCCTGAAGCGGAACTAATTAGTCAAGCCAATCTATTTGACTTGGGAACTCACAGCAAACAAAATGCAGAGGGGTGTCGTAGAAAAGGAACTCCTTCATGAACATGTTGCGCGGGCACCCGAACCATTTAGAGCGGATACTGCTCGAGCCATAGATGTAGCATCGAGATCCATGGTTCATGGTATAGTCGCTCGTCTCCTTGACGTACAAGTCCAGGTTCCAATAGCCACCGTCGCAGTTGGCAGGGTCGAAAGCATCTTGCAGCTGGCAGTCGCGGGCTTTGTACTTGCCACCCCCATTGTAGTTGACCCCGTACTCAAACGCCAAGCACTTGGGATTGGACCTGCACAGTGCCTTGCATTCCTCGATTGACTTGCTTGGGTGCAGTGGCGAGATGTTCCTGCCATTCACGCAGCCTTTTGGAATATGCTCCCACACTTCCTGCACATTCTTGGCATTCGGGATTTTGAGCCTTGCGCACGTTGCCGACTTGAAATGCTTCCCACTGCCATCCCGTTTCAGATGTGTGATGTACGTGCCAGCTGGGCACTTCAAGTTTCCTTGCCATCCTTCGCCTTCGACTTCCCTGGCGTAACCACTCTCCGCGGTCTTGACCGCCAGCCACTCAATGTACTTCACACCGAGGTCGGTCCTGCCGGTATTCTTCTTCCACATTCCCTGCAAGAAGCAGCCGTCGCAACCACACATGCCGTTGCCATCCAAGCACCCCACCACATCGTGCAACTTGGGCTTCATGTGGTCCATCGAGTGGTCATGCTCTCGCTGGCTAATCGGCGACAACTGAAGCATTTCTTCTGTTGCGGTTTGGTAGATTTTCTCTGCCGCGGACCAATCCCCGAAATCGGGCATCTTGGAACTCATGCACTCAAACATGGCATCGTGCAAGATGCTGAGCTTGTGATGCATCTTGTTAGTGGACTCATCAAGAAGAGAACGGTGGGGTTGGCCTGGTAGATCGGCAAGGTGCACCAACAGGTTGTGACGCAAAGAGACCAAGTGGATGGCTTCGAAGACCTGGCATCCTCTGAGGAACGCGTAGCAATCCGAAGGTTGATGATGCCATCCCTCATGACATCCATTCGTGATCTTGTACCAAGCTGTGCGTAGCCCGTTAGTTACATCATGGACCTCGTGTACATCCTTCATCCAAGCATCAGAATCGAAATTGTCCAGCAGCCTCTGCACTTCTTCATCTATCTTGAATCGCGCATCAGTCAAGTCTGAGAAGTATACCTCTCTCTTCACATATGTCTTCACGGCAGCCATGACCCTGTTGTAGACCGCATCCCCTCCATTACCATTTACGACACTCCTGAAACTGTTCATCAAGACTGCACCAACTCCTAGTGCTGGATGAAAGGGACCAGCCAGCCCGCTGAGAAACTGCCAACCATCCACGACATCCAAGTTCAAGGACGGACGGTTGTTGGAGACCTCGTAGGTGTCTGCTGCAGAGAACTTGCCCACCTCTCGGAACATCTTGCGCAGGTCGTCGACACCGTTGAGCTTATTGCGAATGTCGTTCCCAGACCATCCAGTGCCGCCTTGTGCTTGACGCCCCATGCTGCGGTTCATCTGGAGCAAGGCCAGATCACGACCACGTGGTGTGGAAGCAGAGCGGACAATGCAAGTCTCATTGGGTGGCAAGGTCTGCCCCTGGACGCCAACAAGGAGCATGATCAAGATTCCAGTCACATTTAAGCACGCTGCCCAAGTCATCGTGCCAGAGCGCTGGTGTGGGAAGGCTACTGCTCAGAATGGAAGTGACACCCTGAATATCTTGAGCATGGCCAGTTGATCGTACCCAAAGCACCATGCGTTCGTGAGTGACGCGTTTGAGGCAAGGGCAGTACAAAGGCATCTACATGAACAAGCGAGAGTCTTCAAGTGACCTTTACTATAATTGCAATGAACTCAAGTGAATGTTGCCTAAGATCTTGGACCAGCATCGTCCCCACACCATGGCCCCAGATTGCCTTTGCTCACGTTCGTTGAAGGCTCCGGCGCGCAGTCGAACCTTGCAGCCTCAGTCCGAACTCTACAATTTGGCGTTCGAAGGCATCTTGTGAAAGTTCGTCCAATGGTTGGGCTGGCATAGTATAGAACATGTCTACAAAAGGCACCATGAATACTGGCGTGTTACTGCCGGACTCTATGCCACTTATGGTCTCAAATGTGTCTGGCGGTACACGGCCTGTTTAGTAACAGCATCTGCTGGCATTCTGGGTAGCTCATCCTTTGGCCATGCCCCCCACTGCATGTGCACAATATGACAATATGGACTTGACTCTGCCCCAAGCATCCTGCAAGAAGTGCAGATGCGGAGTTCCTCCCCGATGCCCACTCCTATCAAGTATAATAGCCAATCCTAACATGCTCCCGTATCCTTCTAAGCCCCGCCGCTGGCCCCAAATCTTCCGGTTTGTTAGAGAAGGGAGAGTCCATTTGTCTGGATTTGAAAACCCTTGTGGCATTTTTCACGGCGAAAGACAATCTAAGATGACACAAACTTTCTGGTTGTAGTTTGCATACTCCAGGTCAGCTTAAGCTGCGGATTCCCCAGAACCCAGAACCTACTGAGTAACCAATTAATGCCGCACTTCAAGACAAACTATAATATAAGGCTTATATAGGCTTACATAGGAATCTATCGAGGCTATATAGGGTTATGTAGGGATTATGGAAAACGATGGAAACCTCATGAACTATTAGGATGTAGGATGGCCTGTTGGCCATCTCAATTTGATAGAGTTGTATGTAAAGAAAACTTCTTGTCTCAAATTATACATTAAATCGGTACAACACATGTCGTATTCTGTTGTGACTGTGGTTTCCGGTAGCATATTTGGATATAGTTTTGCATGCTGATATATCTATGTTTGACTATTAGTAGCCAAACCACAGCAGGTAGCGAAAACTGAGACTCCAAGTGGGCCAGCCATGGGAGGACAATATGCAGGCCAAACTCAAGCAGGCCAGGCTTGCGAAGCTAGACTCTAGACAGCTCCAGGGCAACTCGTGTCGGGAGTCAGGGACACTTCATGGGATTTGCGCAGATCCTGATACTCTCTCCCCCAACGATTGGTAAGTGCTCATGGCGTGCACACCCGGTAGTATGCAGCAGCGCAGTGTCACAACAAGGGCAGGGAAATTAAAACAAAAGACTTTGTCACTGTACAGTGTAATACATCGCACAATTGTATGTAGTACGGCATGCTATCATAATATGGTATGCGACTGCCTGGGGAGACGCAGCAAGCGAAATGGAAACCAGAAATTCAGAACGAACGTGGCAGTTTAGTTGTTCAAGCTTCTTTGACATGGTGAATGCGGAGCCCTGTGCAGTCAAGGCTCCGGCATCTGAAAGGTATGAGGCAGAGGCCTGGTGAGCGTTTCGCAACTTTTTGCAGTGCAACACGTTGTCATTTATGACATGCTCCAACACACTTGTATGCCATAACATCAACTACGCACTACATATAGCTGCGGAATTTGACGACAGCATGGCAAGCGTGAAGCCGCAGCAACACGAGAGGGCCTGACAGCAAGAGCAAACACTGTGGCAAGTCCTCATCAGTCCCGGATGCGAGGCGTTGCTTGCCAATGGAGGCCGCTATGTGACCTGGGCGTCGGAAGCACGTGGACTGAACCAAGGGTTGCGGAAGTGTAGGGCCTCGAAGCATTGGCCGGCATTGGTCCTGAGCTCCACTCTGCGTCCAGGTGCAGCTCTGCAGCAGCACAGGGGATCGCCCCTGCACGTGAGACACCGTGTAATTGCGTGCTTCACTTCCAGGAGCGAGTTTTGCGTAACCGTGCTCAGAACAATCATGGGAATCAGTCTTCTGCGCATCACAGAGACAGAGAGGAGGTCACGTCCTCTGGCAGTGAGCTTACAACACAAGAGTGGAAGACCTAATCATAAGCCTCATGGGAAGAAGTTTTGAATGCCTTGCCGGTATGTGCCTGGTACAGCCTGTTGATGCGTACATCCTGCGCTCTAGCAAGGTGGGCTACTGATGTTCTTAAACGTATTAGCAATTGGCCAAACGTGAGCCGAGCTGCAGTTTCCAGCCTTCAGGGCAAGACTGGGCTGTTGGTCCTCTCAGAACGCCATTCCTCATTCAAGTCAAAAATGTTTTTAAGGATTCGAGGAGTGAAAAGCTGCAGCTGCCATGATTTGCGCTTTCATCTCAGTCTTCGTTTAGAGCGAAAGCAAACACATCAATATTATATGGATATATATATATATATGTACACGAGTCTCTTCCGGCTAAACCGTAGACAAAAACATGTTTGGATTGGGGTATGTTTCGTAGCACTGGGCTCTTGACGAAAGGGACGTTGTGGGGGTATGTATCAGAGGGTTCAAACATGCTCCTTCTCATGAATTCCTGACCCCCAATTATTAATGGAACGGCCCATTTGTACACACACACACACGCACACGCACACGCACACGCACACACACACACACACACACACCCGCGCGGGCGCACATAATATACGCCCTCTGGACCTTGTGCCGCTCGCGCTCTTGTAGACAACCGCGACGCGAAGAGCTGGACCTGGAATGAGAAACGGGCCATCAGCATCATGGAGCGACTACAGTACATAGCTGGCTTCTTTTCTGGTCACAGTCAACGTGCCGTAAACTCAGCTTGCTAGGCAGGGCCTCAAAATGAAAGCAGTCGAGAAACAGCCGGCCCTTTGAGAGAGTTGGAACCTGCCTGTATGCTGTCTGCATGTCGCAAGCAGCCCAACGTTGCAACCGATTTTGCATTTTGGTTTGTTTGCAGCAGGCGAACAGGAACCTCTTAAAGGAAAACCTCAACGCATCTGGAACTTGAAAAGTCCCGATTAGTCTAAGGATGCCTAGAAGCTGGCCTGGCCGGCAATAAGCGCACGCAGCCTTGGCATGGCCTCCCGCAAAGCTGCTGGAAGTTCTAGCAGGTTCTTGGAGCCCTTCGGGGAAATTCCCTAAGATGGCCAGATGACAGCTGGAGAACCTCCATTCGGATTCAGAACGAGGAGCGGGATTTTGGCATGGGTCTCGGCTTGATACTGCACACTCCTCCCCGTGCGTTGTAGGTCAAGGCGTTGGGCATGAAGGCAGGCAATCGACAGATCGAGGCCAAAAAAATTGACCCACTCACCGTCCAAGTACTAACGACCAGCGCCTGCTAACCTTTAACTCAGCTCGCCTTTTTTGATCTGTGTTCCTGCTCGGTGGTCCAGGCAATGATTAGGACACGGATCCGTCCTATCCCATAATGGATTACATGCAAGCAGGTTTATCTTAAGAAGCACAGCCATCACAAATGGCTTGAGTCCTACATCGTCCCGAATCAGGGGCTGCCTGCTTCTGTGTCTGCTCGCCCACTGGTCCGTGGGGAAGCTATCGAGAGACCCGCAGCCACAGACATAAGCCCCCGACACAACGCCACTACAATTACCAGTTCCATCGATAATTGCTACACGACCAACAGCAGCTCCATTTTTTGCTGGCATATCGAGGCTTCAGAATGCATAGCCCAGCACAGCCTGTTCCAATGTGGGTTGATCATCCTTGCAGATGACGATAGAACGTGTGGAAAAGCAAAAAACCTGAGGCAGGTGCCTACCTCCAAAGCGGCCACTTGGAGAAACGCCGGGCCTCCTGAAAAGGAGAAAGTGGCGAGAAGCGGAACAGCAATCCCTTTCCCGTGTATCTCGTTCAATTACACACAAGGATCACAACATCCCTACATATTCAGGGCTCTAGTTGGGAGTCTCAAGACAGCATGCTAGGGGTAAACAAGCAGACCTGCTTTAAAGAAAAGCCCAAGTCATAGCCGTAGCTACCCAAGCAGTGACACGAATGAGGATGCTTGCTATGATCACCCACGACAGCAAGCCCGTGCGCCCGGACACACTGGCAGCAGCAATAATACCGATCCCTGAACGTCAAGCTCCCATAGCTCTTTAATTTTTGGAGCCCTTTTCTTGTCGACATTTCTGGAAGCAGACATGCTGAGACAGCTGAATGTGATTCCAATCGGCTCACAAGCTGCGGGAGACCGTTCTCGGCCATTGCCTCTTCCTGTCAATCTCGAGGCTTTCTGTGAGCCTATAAGCAGGCACGTGCCTATACACGTTTATGTACACTTCCAGCGCGCGACACATTACCATTGTACTGTCTCTGGCCACTGCCAAGCCAAAACACGCGAGGCAGCAAGGAGCTCGAATCAGCAAGGCCAGCAAAGACGTGCTTTCAGTGCTCTTTGCCTCCGGTGGCTGGTGCTAACATCTGCCACACGGATCCATTTAGGCATTGTGCAAGAGACACGCAACAGAGCGCACGCTGGGGGCATGCACTGTGTTGTGAAAGTCACTGAAAGGCTTTTTTGTGGGTTTAAGTGAGCTGGCTTTGACATGCTCACAGCAAGCCCCCTGTTGTCAGTCTCATCTATCGTCACGCTCTCAGGAGCCACGTGGGGTCCGGAAAAGCCAATCCTCAATGACTACGTAATCCAAGTCCTCCAACTCATCCAGCATCTGCAGGGAGACCTTGACGG